AACAAGCAACTGTATGATGCTCAGACGAACACTTCAGATGTTGAAGAAATCAGGGATCAAAAAAGGAGACACAGTGGAGTGCTGTAAAGCGACGTGACGCAATTGGCGGGAAAGAAGATGAGCCTGCACCCACTGTAGTCAGTTGAATGAATACCCAATGCTCCCTACCCCTCCCCTACCGACTTCCCTATCCCCAATAATATCTTTTCATATTTCGAGCTGAAACCAGTTTAGTTTTGTTTATTTTAGTTTTAAAATTTAATTTTACATATTTTTCTCATAATTGTTATAACTATTGGATGTTCCGGGATGTTCCGGAATGTTCCAGAATCTTCCATTTTCCTGGTTTTATCGACGGCAAGATAATATCGACCAAGTAGCGCTGTTTACCTTCAATGTTTCTCGTTGAAACGCTTCTCAGTTGTAACAATCAATATTGTTGCGTATTAATTTTGAATTGCTTTATTGTTAACAACAAAGGTGGCAATAGAAAAAGAAAGTTGTATTCCGTGACTATCTGATAATTAAATTAGTTCTTGTTCATCGGTAATAAGAAAATTAGCGTTTTAAGAAAAAACAAAAACGTTTCTATTCCATTTCTTCGTCAGNAAAAAGAAAGTTGTATTCCGTGACTATCTGATAATTAAATTAGTTCTTGTTCATCGGTAATAAGAAAATTAGCGTTTTAAGAAAAAACAAAAACGTTTCTATTCCATTTCTTCGTCAGATATTTAACTTTCTTTCATTTATCCCCCAAAAAAGAACATCTTCGTGTGTTTTGGAGAGAACAAGGGTTTCGTGTTACATACCTTTGCGAGGAAAACGAAAGTATCAAGTTACAAAGTTGGCACGAAGAGCTAAATTGTCACGTTTGTTCAACGTATTATTGAATTTAAAATGAACGTAAAACACCAGAGTAAAATTTAAGAGATTTCGTGCCAAACAGTAATTGTACGTAATTTTTGGACCTTGAATGAAAAAACAACATTGAAACATACACACTGCTAAAGGGAAAAGCCCCAGCAGACTACCCAGGTAAATACAAACCGGAAGTGAACAGAGCAGGCGTGAGTACTTCTGGGACTACCGTCTCGGAGCTATCAATTGCACTCTACACTATCTGAGATTGTCTCACTGGTATATTATTCATGCCGTAATTTTCTTGTATTGTTTCTAGGTAAATATTTTAGAGTTTAAGTCAGTGTCTCAGTAGTATTCTTATAATCGATTGCATATATTTGAGCACATACAAAAATTTTACTTTCAACTTGAAAATGACCGTCGAACGGCCGGCCGGTGGAAACGTCGTTGTTTCTTAACGTTAGCTTTTATAGTGAAATCCGTTTCAAAAAAAATTGTTGATTCAAGCCAAAATACTTGTGAAATGAAAAAAAAAAAGACAATATTTCTGCAATGACGGAGAAAACTGGAAAACATAGAATTATATATAAAAAAAATAGATTTTTCGCAAGACTTGCATAAAAATTTACTTACGGTTGCCACGGCGACGAATGGACACACAATTGACGTATCAAATTTTTCGATAAGGATGTATGAACAGGCTATAGAAAGTTTCGGCATCTCAGAGTAAATCGTCTTTTTTAAACTTTGCAGTAAACTACCGGGCGGTGGCAACCACCCCTCCCCCCTTCCTCCTTGTACGTCCGAGGGTTGAAATGAAGAACACGTGTCGATTGTCGGTTAGCCAGCAGATTTGACCGACTTTTTATATCAACATTTAACCTGGGAAAACTTCAGGCTGATTCTAATGACAAATGTATTTGGGGTTATAAGGTATGATCTTCGTTTACTTTATTTATTTCATTTTTCTATTTAGTTACATCTTACAAGCAATTTTATTTTACGTCAGTCTCATAATTATAGTCCTGATCCGTAATTCGTCTTATCAACTCGACAATATTATCCTGCCTGTACAGCCAACGTATTAGGGTCTCCGAACACACTCTTTACATAAGCAGTCATCGGTGCACTCGTGAAGAACATCTCCATTCACGTGAACTGTTTTTCCAGGCTGATGGCATATTTTTCCATTACTTTTTTTTTCTCTGAGGTTTCTCATAATTCCTTGTAACCGGAAGTCGTCAAAGGTTGCCGTGTCTTCTGTTTGGCTATATTCTGGACGAAGGTTTTCCTCGTTCAGGATAATGTCGTCCTCGTCCAGATCGGTAGAAAAGAACCTTATGACATCATGCTCATCTCCAGACCTCTTATCAAGTGCGTCAACGGAGTGCCAAGCCCTCACAAGCAGGCAAAACGTGAAGACAGCTATAAACGTACTGGGCTGTAAGGTAGAGAAGGACAAAGAGTACACTAAGGATATACACTAAATAATTTATATGCATAGCTTCTTATGCAACTGGTGCTGAACAATAAAAGATGAATTAAGGGGTTTCGATATAATTTACCTTTGAAGCTGTTAAGTACATTGCAGAGTCGATAAGTCCCTTGAAAAATACTC